GCACTCACTGTGTGCCTGGATAGCTCTGAGCACCTGTGAGGGTGGGGGGCATGGAAGAAAAGTGCCTTCCTGGAGCTTGCATCTAGTGGGGGAGGCGATGGCTTGTAAAGGTGAAGGAATAGAGGTTTACACGCTGAGCAGATAAGAGAGCCTGGGACGTCTTGCCGGGGACGGTGGGGACTGAGATTCGAGCGGACACTCCGAGGCCCTCGGGGTGGGGTGGGGAGCCTGCTGTTTGTCTGCTCTGGGGATGGTGGAACGCCTTGGTTTGGAGTACAGAGGCCCGCAGAGAGTAAAAGAAGCCGCCCGTGGAAGAGGGAAGGGAAGGGCACTCATGCGGTGCACAGAAATATTGTTGGGGCTTTAACCTGAATGCTTCAGGGTCCTGAATGCTTAGTGCCTGTTGTGTACTTAGAGAGCTTGAATGTTTAGCGCCTCAGGTGTACTTAGTGATCCTGAATATTTGGTGAGCATGAATATTTAGTGCCCAGATGTTCAGTTACTTGCGCTGTTTTGGTCCTTCCATCCTTCTATCTTTCAGACCCACAGTTTTTACTTCTCTTTTTATTAACACCTGCTAGGAAAGTCATCCATTCCTTCCCAGCTACATACACACCTCTTTTTCTTGTCTTCTCTAGCAGAATTGAATATTCTAAAACAATAGAATAAGTGCCCATTCCAGGAGGTGGCAGTCAGGCAGAGGCTTGGAGAGTGATGGCAGAGAGGGTGTGGGACCTGTTTAAGAATACCAACAAAAACCGAATGTGCTTTTCACTGTGGCGTTTTGAGAGGTCCTTGATTGTTAGAGATTCTATTCTTTTTTCAGATTGGTGTTTGTAAATATTTTCTTCCACTCTGGCTTATTTGCTCATTCTCCTCCTGAGGCAAAAGTTTTAATTTTGATGAGGCCCAAGTATCGGTTTCCTTCTATGGATCAAGTTTTTCCTAAGCTCAGAGGGAAAGCACTTCGTCTTTCACATTCATTAATTGTGTGGTTAGCGGGAAGGTTTTGTAGATGCTCTTTATCAGGATGAGGGAGTTCTCTATTCCTAGTTTGCTGCGAGTTGTTTGTTTGTTTGTTTTAATTATGAATGGCAGCTGGATTTTGTCAAATACTTTTTCTGCATCAAGTGAGATGATACTTTTTTTTTGTTTTTTTTCCCCCTTCCTGTTGATTTAGCTGATTCCATTGATTGATTTTCTGTAGATTTTCTTCTCAAGCAGGAGAACTGAGTTTTTGAGCATCACACTTATGTTGTGATGTAGGTAGTGGGAGATTAATAGTCCAGGTAAGAGATGATGGTGTGTGAGTTTCCTGGCTGCTGGAACAAGTTCCCACAAACTGGAGGGTCTGCAACCAGGAGTGTGCTCTTCAGGTCTGGAGCCAGGAGATCAGGGTGTGGACAGGGCCATGCTCCCTCACAGCCTCCAGGGGAGGGTCCTTCCTGCTTTTTCCAGGTCCTGGTGCCCCAGGCATCCCTGGGCTTGTAGCTACGTCACTCCAATCTCTGTCTCCTTTCACATGGCTTCTTCCGTGTCTCTGAGTCTTCTTTTCTGTCTCTTATAAGGACACCTGTCATTGGATTCAGGGGCCACCCCAATCCAGGATGATTTCATCTCACCATCAGTCCTTAACTGAATTATACCTGCAAAGCCCTTTTCCCAAACAAGGCCAAAATCACAGGTTCCAGACATTAGGGGGTGGACATATTTTTTGGGGGGTGCACCCTTCTGCCTATGGTAGGTGGAATCCATTACTAGGTTGGTAGAGGTTGACATCGAGAGAAGGACCTGCATCCAACAATCCCTGACTGGCTGTTGGTCTTCTTGTGGGCAAGGATGGAGAAGGATGGGTTAAAGGCAACTTTTATTTGTCTTTTTTTTTTTTTAAGATTTTTATTGGGGAAGTGGGGGATGGGAACAGTGCTGGGGAATTGGGGGAAGGGGAACAGACAAGTTGCTATCATTTTGTTCTTCAGTCTAGTTGTGGAGAACGTTGCTTCACTGGCCCAAGTTGGCCACCATCATTGTGCTCTTCCCGGGTGAGGCACATCAGTCGCCGGCTTATGGACAGCCTCTCACTGCGACGGCTGGCCGCTCACACTGGCTGCTGGCTACATATGGTAGCCCATGGCAACCCACTGCCACAGGGGCTGCAGCCTACGCCGTCGCCGGCTTTATTTGTCTATTTACTTGAGTTGCAGGTGGATGGCAAGGCCAGTTACTCAATCAGGGAAGACGGGAGGTGGTGACGAGAGCTGTGCCTCTGATACTGCCACCCCACCAGTGGATGCATCCAAGCAGGAACCAGAGCCTGGCTAGCCGGGAAAACGGCTGTATGGATGGTGTTTGGGCCTCACTGCATCCCTGGCTCAGACAGGCGTGCAGAAAGAGGATGCCTCCACTTGAGCCACATGACCTGTGGGGACAGCAGTGTGGCCCTTGGGCTCCTGGCACATAGAGGAGGCTGTTTGTCCACAGGCCGGGTACAGTAAGCCCTGCAACTTGGCATGACCTCCAGCATAGGTCATGAGTGACAGCTTGTAGGCTAGGCCTCAGGGGTCCTAGGCACTCTTTGTGTTCTAGGAATTGTGTGAGGAAGCCCAACTTAGCCATGGAGAGAAACTGAGAAGAACCGGGGCACCCAGACATGGGAGGGAGGCCACCGAACCAGCACCTTCCCAGGGACCTCCACTGACCTATGACTGATCCACTGCTGCCCTGCCAGTGACACCCAACTGACCCACCACTGACACCTCAGCTAACATACTGCTGACCTCCAGCTGACCCCCACTGACCCTCCCACTGGTCCCAAATGCCTAGGAGCCAACCTTAAGTATGCTCACTGACCACCAGCTTTCCTGGGAACTTCACTCCAACTGCTGACCCACCAGCCAGACACTGAGCTGATGTGTCTCTCACAGGACAGAACTGTAAGAACATGACCCAAGAAGGTCTGCATGGGGCTGTGGATGAAGTGATGGGTGTGGCCTGGGGGCCCAAGGGCAGTGCTGGCAGGAGGGCTGCTGGTGAAGGAGGAGAAACAGAAGCTGCAGGACCTGGTGTTCCAGAGATCTGCAGAGGAGGCAGTGGGACTGAAGGACCCGGAGGGAGGGAGGGGGGGAAGTGGGCAGAGGGGAGTGCAGTTTTAGAGCTTTTGCTAGGTGGATATCAGAGAAAAGCAAAGCCTTCATGGGGCTTGGTGAGCAGTAAACAGGTAGGCTTTGATGATCAGGGTTGGGGTCATGCAGCAGGGTGACTGATGCTTCAAGGAGGAGAGACTAGATATGGGGCAGAGCTGGAGACAGACCCTTGCTCCGGAGAAGGGTGGGATAGGCTGTGGGATGCGGCCAGGTTGAGCTGAGACTTCTGGAAACAGGACACTTTACCTGTAGTGGGTGTGAAAGTTTCTGAGGCTGGCTGGACTGCATTCTTTTTCTGGCACCTTCTACCTCTTTCTCACCTTTCAATAAAGTGATCACCCCATAGGGATGTGGGGAGTGACTGAGATAACCCAGTGAATGGAGCCTGTGATGTGCCCCAGTGGGCCTGGAAAAGGCTGCCCAGAGGGACTCCACGCCCTTCTTTCCAAGTGGTCTCCAATGGGTGCTGGGCAGGCAGGCAGGCTAGCCTGTCCTCCACCCTCCACTCACTGGATAGTGATAGAGACACCTAGTCTCCTCCTCTTTTTGGTGCATAACCTCTATTAGGTTCAGATTTCTTTTTAAATCAAGGTGAAATTCACACAACATAAAAGTAACCATCTACAGTGTGTTGCCTTACAGCCGATTCTTAGACCACCCCCTCTGCATTAGCCTCTGACCCATTAGTCGAGAGAGTGTCTCAGAAAACTGAGGCTGGATGGAATGATATCTGTAAAGCTCTCTGGGGTGAGGGGTGTGTCTCCGGTTTGACTGGGACCTGATGGAATTATATCAGCTGTCTCCCCTGGGAGGACATGTAATTATGTCCTGGGGCAATGTGGTGGAGTACAACGGGGAAAAGGTCAATGGAAAAGGCCTTAAGGCACACAAGATTACACGATTAGTGACTCACAACATAGCAGTTTACTTCCTTAAAAATTATCAATAAAAACCATGCGTCGACCCGATTTGGTGGCTCAGTCTAACTCTCTGAAGGCTGAGTCCCTTGGTCTCGCACTTGGTCTCTGTCTCTTTATTCAATCTGCGTTGCCCCTCTCGTGTCCCATTTGCTCTTGCCACGCAGGACGTGACACAGTGAACAATTCAGTGGCATTCACAGTGCTGTGCAACCATTACCTCTAGTTCTGAAACATTTCATCACTTCCCTCCACCTCCAGCTCCTGACATCCACTAATCTAATCCTGTCTGTGGATTTACTTATTCTGAACAATTTAAGTTCCCTTTAAACCCTATTTGAACAATTTAAATTTCTTTAATCGTTTACGATTTAGTTTCCTTAAAAAGTTTATACCTCCTTTAAAAATTTATTTCTAAATACTGAAAACGCCTGTAGCAAAACAAACCTTTACCAAGACTATTCTGATGGCCTTTATGATATTCTCTAAAAACTACCACCTCAGCTCCCTCAAGCTCTCATACATTTTAACTGGGAATCAGTTGACTTAAATGAATCTACCAGATTATCCCAGGAGTAAGAAAGAACAATGTATTTCGTGTCTATGACCGACTGACACTTTGTGGAGCCAATAGTAGTAATACGGGTACCTACAGAATGAACGAGATTGAAACCTCAGGGTTTGGGGACGAGATTCCAGAGCAGAGGCCAACCTCGTCTGGCTAGCACTCCCTGCAGCCTAAAGCACGGGGCCCACCGTGGCGTAGGCACTCCCTGACCATGCTGGGGCACGACTCCTCTGGCGCCCCCGTCAGCACCTGCTTGGAACAAGTGAGCGCACGGTACGGCTCTTTTCTCGAAATTGTGGGTGGCTCTGAAAAGAGCCTTTGGTATCAGGAAGACCCGGGGCGCACAGCCGTTCTCAGCCCGCCTCTGCGGCCTCACTTGCCCTTGACCTTGTGGTGCCTCTCGGTCTTCTTTGGCAACAGCACCGCCTGGATGTTAGGAAGAATACCTCCCTGAGCGATGGTCACGCGGCCTAACAGCTTGTTGAACTCTTCATTGTTGCGAATAGCCAGCTGCAAGTGGCGCGAGATGATGCGAGTCTTTTTTATATCGCGGGCTGCGTTACCCACCAACTCCAGGATCTCGGCGGTCAGGTACTCCACAGCCGCCAAATACACTGGTGTGCCAGCACCCACGCACTCGGAATAATTGCTCTTGCGGCACAAGCGGTGAACGCGACCCACGGGGAACTGAAGCCCAGCGCGCAAAGAGCGGGACTTGCCCTTGGCATGAGCTTTCCCACCCTGCTTGCCTCGGCCAGACATCTCTGTACTCTGGTATAAGTAGAGGAAGGGAATAACGAAGTAAACCCGAAAGGGCCAAACACCTAATTCCAGCGATCTCTTATAACTGCTCTGGAGGTAGGTGAGATGGCGTCCTCTGAATGGATGGCGATGGTAGCTAATCAGAAAAGAAAGTCGTCATCCCTTAATTTGCATGTGCTTTTCCGAGTGATGACGTTGTGTGGCGTTTGATCCTATGAAAAACTAGGCGCTCCTATCCTTATTTGAATACAGGATGTATAAGTTAAGTGGCTTCTCATCCTGAGACGTTCTGTTTGAACAGGCCCTCTGTCGTGCCTGCTTCTTCCAAATCTGTGCCAGCACCTAAGAAGGGCTCCAAAAAGGTTGTCACCAAGGTGCAGAAAAAGGACAGCAAGAAACGGAAGCGCAGCCGCAAGGAGAGGTATTCCATCTACTTATATAAGATGCTGAAACAGGTGCACCTGGACACAGGCATATCTCATCGAAGGCCATGGGCATCATGAACTCGCGCATTGCGAGGAGGCTTCCCACGTGGCGCATTACAACAAGCGGTATACCATCACCTCCCGGTGAGGTGCAGACGGCTTTGTGCTTGCTGCTGCCTGGGGAGCTGGCCAAGCATGCAGTGTCCGAGGGCACCAAGGCTGTCACCAAGTGCACGGGCTCCAAACGAGGCGCCCCGACGCCCATGAACACAAAGGCTCTTTTCAGAGCCACCCACGTGGTCAAGAAAGGGTTTCGGACACGGTGAAAGGTCACAGCAAATCCTTTCTATCTTGGTTCCAGTGGTTCTCTGGTTACTGGGAGGGGTCTAGCTTCAGGCGTGCGAGCCCACGAGTGCAGAAAGGGAGAATAACTGATTGCAGAGGCCAGGGATGCAAACTGGAGAGGTGGTGGAAGGCCCCCAAGTCGAATCCTGACCGCCGCCCAGGCCTATTCATCGCCAGGCAAAGTAGGAACTTCGAGCCGGAATGTAACTGGTGGCTGAAGAGTGCATTTCTGACGCATACCCAAGGGGACTCAATTCTAGGCCCGGCCTGTGTGATGGGCACCAGTCACCTCCCCCAGAAGTACCTCGTGCCAATCCCTGTGTCCCTGGTGGGTGGATCCGGAGATGCTCTAGAAGATGCCCTTGGTGAGAACCCCTGTGATTGTGTAGCTCTGGCGGTGGCATCTGGCGCTGCACCCCTGCATGGACCAGGCATCTTTATAAACATTTCCGGGAGGACGTTTCCGTGGCTGGATCTTGCAATTGCAGGATGTTTGAAACCGAAAGGGTGTAATAACCCGACCCCTGGTGCAGGTAGCTTTAACTCCTAAGAGTGGGGGCGGAGAGAAGCGGATAGGTTTTAGAGTAAAGAATTCCCTTTTGTTGAGCAAATTAGCTCCTTCCCCTTCAGCCACATTTTCTGTGAAACATCAGTGATGCTGAATTCCCCCTTTGAACGCTCTGCAAAAGGAGCGGTTGGCTGGCGGGGCTGGAGAGAAAGAGTCACCGAGCGTCCTCTGCTCTACAGCTGTTGGAAGCCCCCTGCCCTTCAATTCGAATCCTTTTCCCTCATGGGTCCACTCCAAAAGAATTTTTTAAACCATAGGCATCTAGGGCCGGCTGAGTGGCGCAGTTGGTTGGGAGTTGGCTTGGGGCGCCCGGCTGCGGTGCCCCGGTTCAGTCCCGCATGGGGGCCGGTGGCGCTACTTCCTCTGCAGCTAGCATGGTGGACGGCGGCCCAACCTGGAGCTGGGCTGCCTTGGGTAGACATAGACGGCCTGGGCTGCAATGGGTGGGGCTGGCCGGCAGCTGGCGTGGGCTTTCGTGGGCTGCCGTGAGCCTCCGTGGGCGGCAGTTCAGTGGCGGTTGGACGACTGCCTCTCTGGGGAAGAGCGCAGTGATGTTGCCAACATGGGCCAGTGAAGCGCCATCCTCCACTGCTGGACTGAGGAAGGGGAGGATGGCGGCCTGTCTGTTCCCCTTCCCCAATTCCCCAATAATAAAATCTTTGGAAAAAAAACACAAAAAAATTTAGGCATCTAAAATATTTCTATGATTAATTGAAATACTTGCAAGGGTAGAAAACCCACCTTACAACTTTTTAAACACATCAGCCTTTGAAAAGTATCTATTGGAATATCAATTTGGTGCCATGATTTATAAAATAACACAATCAAATTACCCATTGACTGAGATAATGTAGTTTTTTTCTCCCTGAATTCATTTGCGCTCCACTTCTATGTCAGAATTTCATCCTAATGTAAAATGTATTTTTTGTTTGCCAGGGTTTTATCTACTACCTTTCCTTACAAAAAAGTTATGTAAAGTGAAATTTAAAAGTGCTTGTAGTTGACCAAATCTCAGTGTTTAAAAACTCATCTGGACAATACACAATTGTTTAAAGCAAGTTTTGGTAGATAATAATGAAACAATTTTAGTGAAATCTGCCTCTTAATGAGATGGATGGTGGTCCCTCCCTCCCTGTCTCAATTAGTTCATACACCCCTGGGCACATACCTTGTTATGATTATAATAATAGTGGTAGACAGCAGCATTTCTTTTTCTTTGTCTTATTTTATAGATATATGCTCTAAAATAGTATTTACAAAAATATAGAAGAATGGAAAATTTGCCAGCGTTTTACTCAATTCTTTGCTTTCCTAGTTATAATCCAAAAATTAAAGTCATAGATCACCAAGGGTCAACACCTTTAATTCTTCAAGATATCCGATTCCTATTCGAAATTAACAGAATCCAGTCATCCACCACAAAATCGGCTGCAGACTGGGTCCAAGCCCTCAGGTGCCTCCAAACTCAAATAAATTGGAAGTCAGTATAATTACATGAAATTGGTCTGAGATCCACATGATTCTCTACCCTAATGAACTTAAAACCTAGGTTTTAATAAAATAGTTGTGGCTAACAGAGTGTCTTAGATTGTCCTAACAGGCAATAATACCTAATACTACTTAGTACCAAAAATAAGATCAGTAAACAAAATGAACATGTTATTAATTCCCAAATAGAATTCTATAAAAATACATTTTGCTGTGGATAATGTAAAATATCAATTTCTCAGTCCTTTTGGTTCTTCTGACACATGTAATCAATTAGCTTGAAGTTAAAAAAAGCTGTCTATACTTGCCAAACAGTGCAGTAGAGGCTGCACAGGCAGCCCACAGCACAGAAGGGGCCCGATTTGGCCCTCTCTGACGGTAATCTTAGGCAGGTGACAGAGTCCCTGCCACTGAAATTTTATAATCAAGTAAATTGAGAGAAATTGTATACAAAACACATGTCTATAATGTTACAGCAGAGAAAGACTGAAGTGTTAAGTTGAAGGTTAAAGAAGGGGTTTACCAAATATTCGTGGATTCATAGAGGCTAAATGAATTAGGACCCAACACAACAGCAGCATTTTCTGGGTCTTAAATAACTGCGATAAATGTTTACTGAAGATCTAGAAGGCACTGAGGGATTTCACAAATGTAATCTGAAATGCATTTCACCCCTCCCCCATCTGAGCTGGAAGTTTTTCAAGTCAAATTTGCTAATCATTATGTAGTAAACCAAAGATTTTGGAGAAAGGAAAAGTTCCTTTAAGAAACTATAAATGCAAGATAAATTTACTGTATGAGGTTATATGTTAATGTGTGACGGACACCAGAGATGATGTGAGCCTCAGGGAGGAGTCAGACGGCCATTTGTTCACCGGAGGAAGCCAGGAATTCAAACCGCAAGAGGCTTTTCGCCCTTGGAGACTGGGTTCCTGGGGGTGGTTGGGGACCAGATGTTTTTCATGGTCTGGGAATCACTAATACTGTGGGATATTTGATTTGGTTTACTTCAGGATTTGTACCCTTTTGGCGCACTACAGCTCCCTCCACAACCCTGACCAAACAGCACATCACAAGACTAGGTGGGACCAGCTCCTTTTTGAGCATGGAGGTGGTTCTGAAAAGAGCCTTTGTGTTGGAGAGTGTCGCAGTACCTCATTTGGAGCTGACGTACTTGGTGACAAGCCTTGCTGCCCTCCGTCACTGTGTGCTTGGCCAGCTCCCCAAAAAGCAGCAGGCGCATGCATGGCCGTCTGCACCTCCCAGGACGTGAGGGTAGCGCGCTTGTTGTAATGCACCAGGTGGGAGGCTTCAGTGGCAATGCGCTCAAACATGCTCTTGACCAGTGAGTTCATGATGCCCATGGCCTTCGATGAGATGCCTGTGACCTGGTGCACCTGCTTTAGCACCTTGTACACTTAAATGGAATAGCGCTCCTTGCCATTGCGCTTGCATTTCTTTTTCTTGTTTTTTTTTAAGATTTTTTTTTTAATTGGGGAATTGGGGAATGGGAACAGCGCTGGGGAATTGGGGGAAGGGGAACAGACAAGTTGCTGTCCTTCTGTTCTTCAGTCTAGTTGTGGAGGATGTTGCTTCACTGGCCCAAGTTGGCACCATCATTGCGCTCCTCCCAGGCGAGGCAGATCAGTCGCCGGCT